TTTGGGGAATTGTCATTTGGTTTTTTGTTTTAGGGCGTGGCAGCGGCTGACTCATGCCTTGCCTGATGGAGGAGGGTTGGGGGAGGGGGGGGGGGGGGGGAAAGGTGGGGTGTGTATTAGCTGTTGCCATGGCCGTAAGCAGCTACACAAGCCGCGTCCAAATGGGAAGAAAAAAAAAATAGCTAAAACCAATCAAAGGCAGAGCCAAAGCCAATGCCAAACAAGTTAGAACTGTGCAAACGGCTTTAGCCGACTGCGACATGCTCTGTAATCGGCATAAACAACTCTCATTGCTTTGGCGGGAAAACGATTCGTTGCATATTAAGCAATATACCCCATTTGGCGAACTCGGCGAACAGTGTATGAAAAGGTTCCCAATTTGTCCTATCGCTGCCGGCGGAAGTAATTACAAAAACGGCCAAATTGCAAGCACAATTTAATTGTTGTCGTCGTTGTTGTTGTTGTTGTTGTGTCGGTCTGACATCATGCGCATATTGATGAAAGATCAATGTTCCAATGATTCCAGCGTTCCAATATTCCAATCAATCCAGCGCTCAGCGCGAATATCAACACAAAAGGCAACAACAACAACAACAACAACAACAACAACAACGAGGAACAGCAAATGCCAAAAGCTCACAAATTGATTGTTAAAACGTATTTATCGATTCAAGAATCGTTTCGCACACCAAACAAAAGCCAAAAGCAACAATAAATAAATTGTTAATACAAACACAACAACAAAGGCTGTGAGAACTTCTGAGAGAGCGCCTAACGCAGAGCGAGAGCGAGAGCGAGAGAGAGAGAGAGCTGCGCTCAGCAGCAGGTGCTGTGCGAATTTGGTTGTATTAGTGAAAGGCGGTGGAGTGGAAGGGGAGGGGGGGGGGGAGGGGTCGGTTGCGGTGCAGCTGTTTGAGAGCAAAGCGCAGGCGACAGACAATTTACAGTTGGTCAGTTCGGCGCAGCTTAACCCTCAAGTGCGCAGCTTTTTCTCTCTTTTCCTATTGGTTGATATTTTCTGTTATCTTTTTGTTGCAGAAATTTGATGCAAACACAAAATAGTTAAGACGATTAGAAAAGTGAGCAAAATAATTTCGCGCAAGCTTTAAGCAAATGCACACTCGAGGGTTAACATAAAGTAGAGTGGGGGGTAACGGCAAAGGGCAAAGTGTAAGGCTGCCGTTAGTCAAGTGAGTTGCCATATCAACTTAGCTTGTTGTGACACTTGTTTTGATATTTGTCACTTTGCAGCAAATCTGGCAGGCTTCACATGGTGCATGATGCTGGCCTTTTTAGTGATGACAATTTGGCAATTCGATTAATTTAAAGTGTATCGATATGTTTGGTTAGCGCCGACACGGCACGAACTGTGAAATGTTTTGAACCGAAACTGCGGGCTCTTAAGCAGCATGTTTGTGGCACATGTTTTGTTGCACCTATGCAGGTGTATATGTACATATATAAATGCTTTTGTTTAACTTTCGGACAACTTTTCTATTAGTCAATATGTCTTCATTAATTTTAGATAATTCCGTTTTATGGAATATGCCTTCCCTCTATACATGTCTATCTATATATATATGTATATATATATATATAATGTCTCGTTGTGAGCGTCGCGAAAGGCAGCTGTACGAACCTTTCCAAACTAACAATATCTGCATCTGGCTCTTCTTCTGGTCACGTACTTAAAACTTTTGTCTAGCTAGAGGGAAGGGGAGGGCTGAGGGGCATAATGAAGTGAGCTACAATTGCCCCCCATTTGTGTGGGGTCGTTCGTTTTAATCAGCTGCTCTGTGCCAATGGGCAAATGGGCATTTGGACAAAGGGTCCAACATGTTGCTGTGAACCTTTTTTTGGTTTTTTTGCTTTTTTTTTTTGTATACCCTGGCAGAGGGTATTATAATATTGTCGATCCCATCAAGTATATATATTCTTGATCAGCATCAATAGCCAAGTCCGTTTGTCCGTCTGTCTGTTTCTATCTTCTAGCTATCTTTATGAAACGCGCAGTACATATGTCGGAACCAGCTGGATCGGATCACTATATCATATAGCTGCCATAGGAACGATCAATCGAGAATTGGGATATCTTGACCAAACTCGGTATTAACTATTTACCCTGTGCTTCTTAGATACGGGCAAAGCACTATGAAAAGGTTGGGTCTGTCAGGGCATTAAATATTCGGCGTGCCTTCTTTCTCGTTTATTATTATTATTTTTTTTGTTTGTCGTCTCTGGGCGTGACCTTTGGCCGCATTTGAGCGCATTTTGTGGCTTCAGCTTCTCAGCCTCTCAGTTTCTCTCGGCTGCTTTCCATTTCACCGCCTTGAACTGTGCACGTTGCCCTTTACAACAACTCGAGCAACCTTTTCTGGCCATGCATTTGGTTGTGTAATAAGCCCGACTGACCAAAAGTCAGACCTCGTCTGCCCTGCTCCTCCTGCTCCAGTCGCGCCCGCTCCGCTCCGGCAGCTCTGCTCAGCTGTGCTTTTATTTATGGGCTCTTAACTTTATGAGCCGCTGCCTGGCTGCGACGGACAGTGGGGAGGCGGGGTGTCTGTGTTGTGGCTGCAACGGGAAGAACCGTTTTGTTCTAAGCCTTTACGCTTGGCATGCTTTCAGCGCCACGCCCCTCCCTCTCGCACTCAGTCTGCCAGATATCAGCAACGCCTCTCATCTTCACTTGGGCAGTTTTGCTAAGGTTTTTGTAAGAAATCGCATTTTGATATGAATACCCTGTAATCATGGAGCATGTAGGCAAGCGGGTATATTGCTAGCCGGTATATTGCTAGCATAACGTACATATATCTATATACATGACTGTGCTGATTGATTGACTGATTGACTGACTGATTCTGATTGACTAATTGATTGTGTTACACATTTTCTGATTGACAGACTGACTCACTGAAGGACTGGCCGATTGGCTGACTAATTGGTCAGTCAGATTGATTGGTTGATTGACTGACTGATTGGTTGATTGACTGATTGACTTGCTGATTGGCCGATTGGTTGGCTGACCAATTGATTGATTGGTTGATTGACTGACTGATTGGTTAATTGACTGATTGACTAGCTGATTGATTGTTTTACTCATTAACTGATTGATCGACTGAATTACGATTGACTGACTGATCCGACGGACTGATCGATTGTGTGACTGACTGACGGACTGGTTGACTTATTGACTGACTGATTGATTGTTCTACTGACTACCTGATTGATTCACTGCTGCCGACTACCTGATTAGCCGACTGACTGACTGTTTAACCGATTGTTTGACTGACTTACTAACGAATTTATAGATTGACCTATTTTTTAACTGATTGACAGAATGGATGGCTTACTGATTGATTGTTTTACTGAACACCTGATTGATCGACTGACTGACTGACTGATTAACTGAATGACTACCTGATTGACTGACTGATTGACCGCTTAATTGAATAGCTAGGTACGCTTGATAAGAGTAAAGCCTTGAAAGTGTGCGCCCAGGGCAAGTAGAGGGTTAAGGTAGCCAGCTTGTGGTGTATGTGTGTGTGTGTTCGAGTATATGCTGCTTGAAGCCAGCTACAGGGTATCTGCCAGCACAGAACACTCGACTGGCAGTCAAAGTCGCTGTCAACAAAAAATTTCACTTGCAGCTGAATAGAGAGGGAAGCAAAACAAAAAACCCAACGGAAAACAAAAGCAAAATACAAATCTCAATTTGCTTGCAACGCCCACACGCTGAAGTTGTTTTTTTTTTTTTTTTTTTTTTTTTTTGTTAATTTTTATTTGGGTGCTGGATGCACGAATCGCGGTCGCTTGTCGCGTGTCGCGCGCTGAAATGTTTTGTGCGGCACATGAAATTCAAATTGGTTGCAGCGAAAGTGCAACATTAATTAGGCAGCAGCAGCAGCAGCAGAAGCAGCAGAAGGAGCAGCAGCAGTAGCCAGCGGAGCCATAGCAGGTGGTGGAGGCAGGCAGCTGGGCAAACGGCATCGATGTAGTCAACGGCCTACCCCCGCCACCTAACGAAAAATTGAACGCCGCCAGCGCCGTTGCCGCCGCCAGATGAACGAATGGTGGTGATCCTGCTACTAGCGCCATGCACATGCAGCCAAAGCAGCAGCAGCAGCAGCAACAATCACAACCACAACCACAACAACCAACAGCACACGCAGCACAACAACAGCTCATCCCCAGCGAGCAGCAGGAGCAGGAGCAGCAGCAGCAATGGCAACCGCTCCTCATCGGCATCCACTGGCGTCACGGCCATTCCGGCCAGCTTGTATCGCCAGCCAGCCGCCGGCAACATCTGCCACATCTGCAACACCGGCCCTCCTTCTACTCCTCCCGCGCACCATTGGCCTAGTCATAGTCATAGCTACCAGCCGTCACTGCCTGCCGCTGGCTGGCAAACGTCCTTGCCAGCGGCTGCCAATGCTGTGCCAAAGCCGCCGCGCAGTTATCTACACGGCCACGCCCCTGCACCGCTGGTCTTTCGCATTTACGCTGCAGGCTCAAGCCCGCGACAGCCACTGCCACAGCCACAGCCACAGCCACCTGCCAGCTTTACTAACAAGAATAACAAACAACTTAGAAAGAAAGCCAACGCCGGCAACACCGGCACCACAACCAGTGCCGACTATGTGCGTCACGTGACCCGCGTTAATTTCTACGACGTTGATACTTCGCAGGTCGAATTCGAGCCCAAAGATGATGACGAGAGCAACGAGGCAAGTGCAAACGATTGCGATACAGAAGCTATAACCAAAGAAGGTGAGTCCAACACACATATTATGATAAAATGAAGATCAAAAGTAGAGATTGCACTAGACAATGATAAGATAAATATGGGAAGATATAGAAAATAGAGATCAAAGTTGAGAGAATTGATAATATTGCCGGGGTATTCCATTAGTAGAACCCTTAAGCGATGAGAATAAGATAAGATAAGATAAGAAGATAAATATAAAAGTTGAAATAGGACTAAATAGGGTATGAATAATAATACCCGGATATTCCAAGAACAGAAGCTGTAGCCAAAGAAGGTGAATTCCTGAGAAAAGAAAAGGAGGCTTAGGAAAGGGAGGTGTGATAGATTGGACTAGGTTTAGGGAATTCCTTGGGTATTCCAGGAACAGTAGCTGTTGCCAATGAAGATGAGCCCCAAGCGAGGTGGGATAACTTATGATAAGCTAGGTATGAGAAGATAACGATAAAGATGACTTGGGTATTCTAATAACAGATCCTATACGCCCAACGGGTGAGTCGATAAGATAACGATAGAGGGAAGGAATAATGTGGCGGGAAATCATGAAGTAGGGATATCCAAAAGATAAAAGATGTTCGATATGTTGTAAGAAGTGGACTTTGGAGGTTTGGGTTTGGGATAGAGGTAGGTGGGAATAACTGAAAGATAATCTCTGTGAGGAACTGTAATGAACCAAGGTTGAGAGTGAGAAGCCAGACTTGGACCGTCAAGCGAAGGAACTTAGACAGAAATACTTAAGATATGCTTACAAGATATTCAACCTTAATGAATATTCCCAGATGTTGAGCAAAACCTGATCTATGAACGGAGATCAACGTGAGAGTAGTAAGAAAAGGTGCTCAGAGTAAATTTATTACTCATTGATCAATTTGGGTTCGAAGTTTCAAGACAATTACGTTATGTTAATTAAACGGGCGATCCGGCCCATAATGCCCCATGGCCATCAACGTAAATAATTCGTCATTTATTGTTGACAATGCGATTGCATCAGAATACAGTCAACAGATTGGCATATTCATGGGGCTGTGCCCCTTGCATTGTGATTTATGAATCATGAAAATTACGTATACGACTCGTATATCGATTTGTTGATCCGAAATACTTAGACAACTTGTTTAAGCGGAAGGCAAATGATCTCGATTTCACTCTCTGTCTCTGGCTGCATGTGAATTGATCCCTTTCGCTGTGCATAATTTTGATCCCTGTCCCCCCCTTTCCCCCTGGCTGTACCGCTTTTTTGTTACGGAAATCATAGAAAGTTTGATTTAATTATGTGATTAACATAGCACAAAGGCGCCTTTGGCTGCAACAGCAGCGCCAGCAACAGCTACTTGTAACATTGTGAAAAAGTGTAAAAATTAGAAATAACAAGCATCTACAAGCAACAAACAACAACAAACAACAAGCAACAACAACAACAACAATGGCAAAATGGTAATGCAAAAGAAAATGTTTCAAGCAAAAATTTCCCACGTTAGCAAATCATTAAAAATCAACGGCAGCTACAACAACAACAACAACAGCAACAACAACAACAACAACGACAGCAACAACAACTGCAATAATAACTGAAATAGGTGCACAATTTTGTTATTGTTGCTTTTGCCGTTGGGGGTCTCTTTGCATATGTGCAGAAATTAAATAATTGCGGCTCACAGCTTGTTATGCCGCAACTCTACACAGCGTGCGCTGCATAAATCTGCATACTCTCCGCACACAAGCTGAACAAGCTAAAAGCTCACAAGCCAAACTCTACACAGCTGGCAAAAAAGATTCACATGGCATTTAGCCCTAGGCTATCACAAACCAAACTCTACACAGCTGGCAAAAAAGATGCACATAGTGTTTACCTCTAAGCTATAACAAACCAAACTCTACACAGCTGGCAAAAAAGATACACAAGTTATTTAGCTCTAATCCCTCACACTCTAAACTCTACACAGCTGTAAAAAAATGATTCACATGGCATTTATCTCTAAGCACGTAGCTTATGAGCTCTACATGATCATCAACAGAACTCTACACAACTTAAAATGCATGATTTGCGATGTCTACAGTTCTGAATACAAAATTCTACACAGCTAAATATATTTATATATATGCACGTGAGTCTTGTCGAGCTTTTAACTAAAAAGAACAAAACTCTACATTGTTATCTATAGATGCATAAACAAAACTCTACATGACTCTATATTTACGATTTGCAAGTTCCACAGCTCTCTTCACAGAGATTCCTGTAAAATACAACTCTACAGGCAAACGAGTCTTTGAACTCCAAATAAAATGTCTACATTGTTTTCTAAACATGCATAAATAAAACTCTACACATTTCTATAAACGTGATAATATACAGCTCTACAGGCAAGCGTCATATTGACGCTTCTACACTGTTTTATATACAATATTCACAAAAACATAAAAGTCTACACTCAGCTTATGTAAACAGCTCTCCATATTAAGTTCACAGTCTACACAATTCGGCATAGAACATTTAACAGTCGAAAATGTTCAAAACATATCTCTACAAAGGCAAGCACTTCATGCAAGACGCGCTTTAGCTCTAACAACTCTCCACATGCAAATGCAAGTCTCCACACATGAATAACAATCTTTACAGAAGAGTCTACAAACTCTACAGCGCATATATAAGTTGATTATTCTTAACCTAAATCGCGCAAGCTCTACACAGTCTACGCATAAGTCTCCACGCATCAAGAATCTCTACACCGCGCTAATGTCGAACCTCTTTCTTAGGGAAATATTCGGATTTGGGATCTTGAAACAATTAGATGGAAACGATTTGCATAAGTTGCAGCAGGCAAAAGGAGGCCGTCGTTCAATTAGCATGCTGGACAAACAATAGAACTAAGCAGGGCGCGGGAGTGGTGGTGCGGGAGGGGGAGAGGGGGGGAGGGGGCTGGTCGGTTGAGCAAGTCAAAGTTGGTTGAGAGCAGCGGTTGGAAGAGGCTGCTGCTTAGCCACTTAGCGTGGCCATAATTGATACCACAATTAGCCCACAATGAGTGCGGCATGTGCAACAAAATGTAATGAAATATGTGGGCAGAGCGCCCGGTGGGGTGGGGGAGGGGCTGTGGGGCGTGGCAACATGGCATAAATAACGATTACATGTCATCGAGAGTGGGGCCTGCGCAATCGATCGCAAGCCGATCGAACGAAACGCAAAGCAATGCACAACTCAAAAGAATGTAAGAGTGCGCAAGTTGAGTGTGCACGACCGACAAATACCCTGTAGGCAGCAAACAGATGACGAATGCCTCGCACGTTCTTCTTATTTACTTAACTATGCTGTTTATTTATTTACTTATTCATTAACTTATTTATTTATTTAATATATAATTAGTTTGAAGGATCTGCCTGTGTTATCTCAGGGTATCTGCTAGTCGGGCACTCCCGACTAGTGCCCACTTGCCTGCACAGCCTCGTTATGCCCTACAATCTACATTTGCAATGGGCAAAGCAACTAAATCGGAGCTCGAGAGTGAATCGATCCCCGCTTCCCTCCCCCCCCCCCCCCCCCCCCCCCCCCCCTATCGCACCGCCCGCCAAGCGTCTCGTGCTGTTTGTTTGTTTAATTGTTGTTGTTGTTGTTGCTGTTGCTATTTATGAAGTGCTTGGCTGACTGTCTGGCAGTTCCCTAAGCTGATGCAATGCGGATATATGCGCAAATGATAAAGATAAATGCTGCCAGCTAGGCAAGTAAAGGGGGGGTGGGTGTAGGGTGGGTTGGGGGGTGGGGTGGATTGATCATTTAAATAGCTTCGATCAAGCTGGGCCCAACTGACCGGGGCCAAATTTGACAAGCAGCTTCAGCCAAAGCATAGCCAATTTTCAGCTTTAGCTTTCGAGCGGGATCTTGTTTCGGCGACGGCGACGGCGACTGCGGCGCCGACTGCAACTGCAACTGCAGTTAAATTATATAAGCGACCTTTAATGGTCCAGCGATTTTTGCAGCAGCAGCCATCGCAGTCACTCAAGAGCCACACAATAAAACAAGTAAGAGGATCTAGTCGGGAGCTTCCGACTAGGGGATACCCTGAACCCTCCTCGTCCAACATCAAATGCATATATATATTCTATTCTAGAAGCTATATGTTAAGTTTGGTGACTCTAGCTCTTATTATTTACCAAAATTGGCCAAAAAACAGGATATCGATATCGATTTTTATCGATTGCTTGGAAACGGAGCAAGTTATCGACTATGGGAAACAAACTCGATCTGCGCGGGAACTAGGAGCATCTACATCTAAGTCTCTAGCTCTTATAGGTTCTGAGATCCTTGCGTTCATACGGACGGACGGACAGACAGACAGACAGACGGACAGACATGGCTAGATCGACCCGGCTATTGATGATGCTCAAGAATAAATACTTTATGGGGTCGGAGATGCTTCCTTCTGCCTGTTACATACATTTACACTTTGCACAAATACAATATACCCTTTCTACCCATTTTTAATGGGCTCAGGGTATAAAAACAGACGAAGACAATTGCAGGCGGCCTCAACGAAGCTCAAATACCCTTTATTTGGGAGAATCTGGTTCGGGCGTGAGCAGGATTTGCATTGGATTTGAATTATTCCTTTTTTTCTAGTTTTTTTTATTTAATTTTTTTTTTAGTTCTTTTGAGCACTTCTAGAAAACTCTGTATGAAACCGAAGCAAAGCGAGGGTTCAAATCGCTTCTAGTTTAGCCCAACTAAGAGATACCCTGCAATGCAGCTGCTGCGACAAATGTTCAAGCTTCACACACACACACACACACATGCACGCAGCTGTGTTTCTTCTGCGCTCCCAGACAAGGGAAAGTAACATACATACGCGTTTAGCTTGTCGTCCGATCTTTCTGCAATTTTAAGCACATAAGCATGACACTCAAATATGCGTACATTCCTCAGCGCAAGGCTGTACTATAAAAACTGAAGTATTTTCTAATTATAAGGGAATATGATAAGATATGCAAAACAAGAAATATTCTTAGTCTTTGTAGACCATACCAGTAGCTATCCACCAAGTTGAGTGTCTCAAGCTTAGAAAGTTCTCGCGTTGTGCTTTAGAAAACATAACTGCAAATCGATATTTATCGATAGAATGAAAATACCAGAAGATATTGCAGAAATATGATAAGCTTCTTCTGCTACGAGCATTGTTGTTTTCAATATCGCAATGCATGCTTGCTCAGCTTCGGGATATATTGTCCGATCAATATAGATTTTTACTACATATACATATATATATAATATATATGTACTACATATACATATATATATAATATATATGTCAAATATTAGTTCTTCAGGTCTTAAAACTTGACTAAAACGACTCAAGTCGTCATTTTGAGTATGAATGTGCTTTATGTCAGCACACGTCGGGCATACCCTATGGAAAGCATTTTTAATGGGTATGCAGGCTGCGTAAAAGAACGTTTGATAATAAATCCAAAGCCTGTCAAAAGCTGACACAGATGTATGTGTGACATATTTCATGCTTAAATCATGATGCCCTTTGTTAGGGTATATTTGTGCATGAAATAAACAAGTCCGTTTTTTCTTTCTTCTTGTTTTTCATTCATTCAGTAAATCTTGGACACAGACATCGTCGGATGTCCGTGCTCAATGCTTTGCTCTGCGGCTGTTGGCGTCACAGGTTGCCACACACACACACACACACACACACACACACACAGACACACTTACACACAGACACACACACCTTATACACACTCATGGTACAGTTAGTCGGACTTGGACTTGGATTACGTAATTGGGCGACCAGCTAAGCTAAGCTAACCAAATGCGGCAGCCACTCAGCGAATCGCAGCGAAGCGCTTCGTTATTTTTGTTGTTAGCCGCTTCTTCTTCTTCTTCTTCGCTATGGCAATGCAAAAAAAAAAAAAATACAAAATGCACTTTATCTGCATGCACGAAATGCAAATCGCGACTCGCAAATGTTTTTTTTTCTTTGGCTTTGGTTGCGGCGACTAGGTGTTGCAATCAGAACATGCAACAAGACTGGGACTGGGATTGGAGCTAGTGCTGCAACTGGGGCTGGGACTAGGACTGGGATTGGGATTGGGGCTGGGATTGGGGCTGGGAATAGGACTGGAGCTGGGACTTAGGCTGGGATTGGGGCTGGGAATAGGACTGGGACTGGAGCTAGGACTGGAACTGGGACTGGAGCTGGGACTGAGGCTGGGACTGGAGCTGGGACTGGGACTGTGGTTGGGACTGGGACTAGGACTGGGATTGGGACTGGGATTGGGACTGGGATTAGGACTGGGACTGGGTCTGAGGCTGGGACTGTGGCTGGGGTTGGGACTGGGACTAGGACTGGGATTAGGACTAGGACTAGGACTGGTACTAGGACTGGGACTGGGGCTGGGATTAAGACTGGAGCTGAACTGGGATTAGAGCTGGGGCAAGTGGCAACATGTTTTGGACTTACAAACACACAGGTTCATTCATTCTGAACTAGTTTGTCGTAATTGCGCTCATTAACATATCTTAACTCCATTATTTATGTCCCTCGAGCCAAGCTTAGCCCTTTTTGATATCAGGTGGGCTTTTCTCGTTAATGAAATGAATATACTCTAAGCTACTTGAGATACAAGCTCTTGCGGGCTTAAGCCCAGCTTTTGGCGCTTGAATGTGGAGAGTTCTTGGCCGAAGTTCGTGGTAGGCATGCTTGAACAGTTGTTGAGCTTGTCATTAAAAGACAAAAACGGACAAGTAAGGGTATCTAAAGCACATCGAAGACCTGGCAGACATTTGCCTTACGTTTCGAGTGAAGCTCGTAAAAAGCTTGGAAAACAGAATAAGTTGTCGTACATTAACTCATCTTCCGGTTTCTTTTATAAGTCAGCATAGGAAGAAGCGAGTGAATATTGAGCTACTTTTTACGTTTCACAACATGTATTCATATTAGAAGGGTATTCAAACTTCGGCGTGCCACGTAAAGCTGTCGGCATGGCAAGAATCCTTTGAATAATGAATCTCTCAAGATATATTTAACTTAGAAGCGTATTTCAACTTCGGCTTGCCGAATATGGACGTTCAGCATGGCAAGAATTGATTGAATATTGAGTTATATATTTCTTTTCTCAAATTATCATCAACTTGGAAGAGTATTTCAACCTCGACGTACCATTGAGAGTCGTTCTTCGCTTTGTAAACTTTCAATATGTTAATATTCTATATTTAATATTCAATTAATTTCGTTTTAAGAGCTACAAGAGCACAATTTCAACAAATTTATATTATTATTTTATTATGTTTGAAGCTGATCAAATTTCGATCGAAAAAGCCTTGAACCACGTTCGAGCAGAGGGAGAAAGAAATGCTTAAAAATCCCGCACAAATAAATGTAACACGAATTCGGGCTCTCTCTCCAGACTCTCTCCCACGCTCTCTCTGTTCTTTCTCTCTCTCTCCCTCTCTCTCTCTCTCTCTCTCTTCTCTCTCTCTCTCTCTCTCTTTCTCTCTCTCTCTCTCTCTTTCTCTCTCTCTCTCTCTCTCTCTCTGTAAAGCTGTGCAGCACCTTTTTATAGCCCGCTTTTGAGCATAGCTTTAAGCGAGCAGGCGAACGCTTTAAGTTGTCGCCAAAAGGTATGCAACGAAACTGAACGCAGAAGCTTTTTCTTTTGCAGAGGAATGGATAACGAAGCGCAAAACCGAGCTAACGACAACAAGACAAATCGAGACGCGTGTAAAGCGGCAAGTGAAGCTGCAGGATGGCAAAGTGATCGAAGATTCCGGCCCGATAGTCTCCACCAACACGACCGAGGACACGGACAAACAGGAAACGGAAACAACCGAGGTGAGTGCCACATTTGAAGCTGCAGCCAAGCCCACAAATCCACAATTGCCGCATTACAGAAACGCGACCTGGGTCTGCCCGACGAGCTGGATGGCAAGGCGCAGCTAATAGATGCCGCAGCGCTGCAGGCGGGCGCCGCCAACGAGACGCAGCTGGCCCAGCTACAGGAGGCGTTCGGCATCGATGGCGGCAAGCTGGTGCGGCGCATGGTGCCGCGTCCCGTGGACGGTCTGGTGCGTCAGATCGACGACAAGCGCACCATTTCGCACGAGGAGATCAAGGACTACCAGGAGACGCAGGACGTCAAGCACTTGGGCGACTTTACCGACGAGGTAAGCAAATACTTTGCAGCTTAGCAGCCAGCAGCAGGCGGCAGCAGGCGACGCTGTGGTAATCCGAGACGGGCGCAACAAAAGCCAAACAGCCAATTGGCATGCAAAATAACTGAAAATCAATTTGGCGTGAAAAACGAAAAAAAAACGTGAAAGAAGGGCTATCTTCGGCACGCCGAAGACGCAATACCCTTGCAGCCGCAACCTTGTCATAATGCTCAGCACAGGGAAAATAATTAAAGCCGAGTATGATTAGGAAATCTTGGAAAACAAAAAAATTTTCCATACAAAAACCTAATTTTCGACCGATCGTACCTATGGCAGCTATATGATATAGTGATCCGATCCAGCTGGTTCCGACATATGTACTGCGTGTTTCATAAAGATAGCTAGAAGATAGAAACAGACAGACGGACAGACGAACTCGGCTGTTGATACTGATCAAGAATATATATACTTTATGGGATCGGCGAAGTCTCCTTCTATGCGTTACACATTTCACGATAATATTATAATACCCTCTGCAAGGGTATACAAAGCAACTGAAAAACAAGTTAGTATGCTCCAGTTGTCTGTTGCCCGACGCCCAAATACCCTGTAGAGTTGGTACAAAAAATGTGCACAGCATGCATACAACATGGCGGAAGATAAGAAGGCGATAAGTTGGCGATAAATGGGCGTCAAGAATGCGATATGCCGCTTGCTGCTGGCAATATCTTTTGTTATTTATCCCATTTATATAGAGACGCGACTCTTTCCGGGCACAAAACTAATACCTATCGCCTGACTGATACGAATGCGATACTTACGTTTATACAAACAGAGAATAGTGAAGTTTCCAACAAAGAAGAAACTCGCTTATTGCGAAAACCTTATATTTTGCCGATTCTACCTAGAGAGCTATATAAGTTATAGTAGCATTTGCTTGAAAGGAAAGTCTTGAAGGGAAGATATTGAAAAAATATTATATTAGTCCGTTATTGATGAGAAATTTGATCACATGTGCAACTAATGTCAAGATTGGTAAAGAGCTCGAAAGAAGCAGAAGATCTTAAAGAAAGGAAATAAGATATGATATGAAGATAGGATATAGTAGTTCCATCTGAACGATGCCCAAATGCAGATGTGCTGAAGTTGAATGAGAAAAGCTTTCAGGCCAAGACACTTGCCAGAAGATAGACGCATAAGGCTATAGCTACTCGTCTATTTGATTCCAATTGAGTATATATATACTATATGCTCTTTCTGGCGATGTCTGTCTCAACTCATGATTAACTATAATACATTTAATAAATAATGTATAGGTTAATTACAACGTCCAGGGTCTGCTTCAAATAATTACTTTAAAATTTGCCTGGTTAACTTGCATTAAGTTGTAATGTTAAAGGCTGAGACTAAGGATAGCTCGATGGTAATGAATTAGGCAAGTGGATTCTATCCTATCTTTTCCAGTTAACGTCAGGTGTTTAGAATGTGGATGGAGATTGTGGATTGATTTCCTTATATCTGTGCTGAAGAGACGAGCAGCTCTCGATTGTCGACATGGACATGTCGAAAGTTCGAATATGAAAATCGCATATTAAAGACGTGCGTGTGCTCTGGGAATAACACATTTGCATTTATGTTCAGGCTGTTGATACCCCTTTGCTGGCATTCAGTGCGTGCAGGGTATACGCAAAGGCAACAATGCCGCTGGGCAGTTGCCAGCGGCAAGCAGTCGCAGCAGCCAGCAACCAGTTGAGTCGAGTTGTTGTTGTTGTTGCTGTTGCTGTTGCTGCTCTAAAGCTCATTCGAAAGTTAAAGGGGAGTTGTTGTTGTTGTTGTTGTTGGTGCCGCAACAAGCTGGCGTGCTGCATCGGACGCTGTTGCTTTTGCCGTTGCTGCCGCTTTTAGTCGCCGCCGAGCGAGCGCCGAGAGCAGACAACGACTCGTAGACTCGTAGCACGCCGAACGCGTCGCGCCCCAGCGAACCAGCGCGATTTAGTGACTTTAATCTTGATCTTAAGTTTTAGTTTAACTTTAGTCTCTCGTTCACGCTCGCTCACGCTCACTCGCTCGCCCGCCCGCCCGCTCTCGAACCCTTTGTGGCTGTGTTTCTTTGATTTTTTTTTCTCTTCGTTTTTGTTGTTATTTTTGTTGTATTTTGTTTTATTTTTATTTTTTGTCCTACGCACGCCCGCGCGCGTCCGCACGCCTGTGATTTAGTTAATACTCGCGCTTAGTTTTAGTTTCGGTCTCGTAATTAACTAAAGACTCGAGTGGCACACAGCAACAAACGCCAGGCAAAGACAACGTTGGAAAGAAAGAGAGCAAAACAAATTAAAAACAAATTAAAAGCAAAAAAAGAAAATCTACATTTGTTTTTGTGCGTGGGGCGCTAAACGATTGGCCAACGGCAGCGCACGGTTTGCTTAATTAAAACCAGGTGCGAATATGTATATGTTATGAATATTATGTGAAACATTTCGTAAGTTGTCAAAAACAAAGCGGAAAGAAAATAAATAAAAGTGCAAAAAAGTTTGCACAGCAACGAATGACTTAGGCAACAAACTTGATTGCAGGTACTAAATGCAGTCAAGTGTGTGTGAGTGTGTGTATGACTGAATGTATGTGTGTGTGTATGTGTGTGTGGTATAAGCTACAGCAACTGCATTTGAAAGTTCTATATAATCCAGTTCACTTAACTAGCAAAAGACTAAGGCAACAAACTTGACTTAAGGCTGTTTTTGTATGCATATGAGCTTATGTGTGCGTGTGTGTGTGTGTGTGTGTGTGTGTGTGTGTGTGTGTGTGTGTATGCGTGAGCGAGTTCAGCTACTGCAGTTCCATTTAAAAATTCTATGAAAATCATTTCGAAAGTAATCCCAACAAAATATATGCATAAAATGTAGCTAAACGAAAGACTTAGACAACAAACTTGACTTAAGTCCATTTATATATGCATATGCATTTGTGTGTGTGCGGGTTTTAGCTACTGCAACTAAATTGAAAAGTTATATGAAATCCATTTCCATAATTATTGAACTAAACGAAAGACTTAGGCAACAAACTTAACTGAGGGTCATATATAAGTGCAGACAATAGCTGCGAGTTCTTGACTACATTTACAATTTTCTATGCCAGCGCTTGCATACGCTGGCCCAAACGAAAGACTTAGGCAACAAACTTGATCAGAGTCTACCTATATAAGTATATATGCATGTATATACACATATATATATATATATATGTGTGTGCTTGGCTTAGCTAACAGCTTCTGCAACTACTTTCGAATGTTCTATGAAGCCCCCCCTCAAAAAAAAACACAAAAAGCTTGACCACTACAAAAGACTTCGGCAACAAACTTGACTAAGAGCTGTTCCTATACGAGTGTGTAAGCATATCGTAGTTGAACAACAAGAATTACCATGTGTTCAATTTCATAGAATGCCAACAAGAGCAACGAAAGACTTAGGCAACGAACTTGGCGAGAGAGCTATTTATAAATGAGCAACAGTTTCCATTTTTGAGCGCCATTTGGATTTAATGGGATGCCCAAAACAAAGTCGTCCCAAACAAAAGACTTAGGCAACGAACTCGATTTAAGGTTAGTAATTGCAGTGGGTGTGTGTGTGTGTGTGTGTGTGTGCCTGTGTGTGTGTGTAACAGCTCGTGCAACAACTGGCTGCTAGTTCTATGTTAAACATAAAATTCACTAAAAATAATTATAAGTAAACGAAAGACTTACGCAACGAACTTGATTATACAATTATTTTATACACATGCATATGTATAATAAATGTTTGCTCTTGTTCTAATCAATCGGTTCAAAATTGGTTGCAACAAACGAAAGACTTAGGCAACAAACTTGACCACAAACTTCTATTTATATAAATGAGCAAACAATTTGTGTGTGTGTGTGTGTGTGTGTGTGTTTGTGTGTGTAGGGCAGCAGCTGCCAACTCCTAATTCCATTCAAAATTTAGTTCAACAATTTGCTTGCAAATAACGAAAGACTTAGGCAACGAACTTGACAAAAAATGTGTTTGTGTGAGGTAACAGCTTCTAGCTCCATTTGAAAGTTCTTGTGCGGCTACTCAATAATTGTGCGAAGATCTTAGAAGCTGCCCTATGTATTGCCCCCCCCCCCCCTCCACCCCCTGCACCCCGTCTCGCCCAGTGCGACCGGCGCAGCGCATTTGAGTGGACTTAGGAGCATGTCTTTAAACCGGTAGTTGGCAATTACCCAGGCAGCAAAAGGTTGTGTACCACAGCAGATGATGTTGTACAAGGCATACACACACACACACACACACGCACACACACGCACACAGACACACACAGCTGAAGACCTGTTCTGGAGTTTAATCAATAGACTGCGGCTGCTCCTGCTTTGTCTGCGGTTTGAGTTAACTTGGCTTGGCTTGGATTCTAGGCGTGTCTGCAGCAGGTCCATGAACCTAACTACACACCAATACACACACACACACACACACACACAGTTGGAGCTGTGTGTTTTGTCTACAAAATATTTGTTGGAATTTCGAATTTGAATTTTTAGTTTGAATTTTTTTCATTTGTGTGTACTTCTTGTCTTACAGCCGCAGCTGCCAGTGTGTATGTGTGTGTGTGTGTGTCTGTGTGTGTCTGTGTGTGTTTGTGTGGGTACTTGTTGCCTGGGTAAACTTGTTTTTGCTTTGCGCCCATGTGCCCACATTGACTCGGCACTCGCACTCTAATCAGCGTATGCCAATCTCTGCCCGAAACTCCAGCTCAATTGTGGCCCGGGGGCCGCTGACTCTGGATGTGCGTGTGTGTGTGTGTGTGTTGGTGGGTCCACAAGTGGTCAGTTGCAGCTGCGTTGGCGTTGGCGTTGCCAACGTTAACTGAATTACAATAATAATAAACATAATAATCGAACGCGCTGTTTGGGGCCCAGCGCCTAGGCTCGAGGTTGAGCAACTCCCAAGGCAAACAGGTCTGCGCGAAAAGCGCACGCACAAAGCCGCAGACGGCGTCGC